TGAATTTACTTATATGTGCACACACATATAAGACATATTTTCAGCAAGACATCCTGCGCAACGGCTCCATAGACTGTTTATTTATTAAGTTTAATAGATTTCATGAGCCAGAGGACGATACTCATATTTAATATTAATTTATAATATTTAATCTTTCTGCATACAAGAAAATTTCAGAAATATAGTACTTAAACATATTAATAACGATTTTAATATACATAGGCTGTTCAGAAAATAGTACTAATTACTATTTCCACGTCAACATATACATCATATGTTACCGCAAGATAGACGAACGATTATTATAACACAAATAAAACTGATGACTACTGCAATTTAACAGAAAATGACAAAAGTGACACATTTAGAAGACTATAAAATATGCCCAAACAATTAAAATAGATTTTTTATTATTAACAACATACAAAGGTTACATTAATTCCGACATTGTGTCAATGTTATCAAGTTTTGGAAACTCACTATCAAACTATGGTATGTGTGTTTGGTATTTATAACTACGAGTTTTAACATAGGATACAGATTTCTTACGATTATTGTATGTAAGCAATTTTATGATATATTACTGTGTGACTAGAATTGCAGATTTATCAAATCTTGTAACAAGAACTTACGAGAGCAAAAAGTTTGTACCAAACATATATTTTGTATTAGAACATGAAGTAATAAACAATTTGAAATAATAACAACTTTGCATACTACATTCAAGAAAAGTTTTGTTTCATAATCCAATATTAATAGTTGCAATCTTAATAATATTAACGGTATATGTCAAGTAACGTAAAAGAATTCACTTTTGTTTTTTTTAAAGTAATATATTATAAGTGTAATTAGGCACAGCGTGCGTTTTGTATATGTATTTACAATATTTTATACAGAAAAATCAATAAAGTTAATGTCAAATGCCTTTTGTAATAATAGAATATTGTTAAATGTTGATGTCATGGTGTATAGCTTTTATGATATATTCGGACACAAACACTCGCGGCTCACGTTTTGTCCAAATTAGTAAAAAATATATAAAAGCTCTCTGATTTGACTTATTATTGTTTCCACGTGTTTGGAGAATCTGTTGTTTTGAAACCGTCGACGAAGACTTTTCCACATAAATAGTAGGGGAGACCGGGGCACAAAGTAACATCCAAAATAGATTGTAAAAAAAAAAAAAAATGTACGCAATATTATGTAATATTGAATACATTATATAATAGTCACATCCTTTAGCTTTAAGAAAAAACAAATATTATTCTTATATATCTTTATACAAAAGAGTATTTTAATGTTAAATACAATCGCGCAGATTTGTCAACCTGCCCCATACCCAGGGTTAATTGTCACATGTCTTTTATACAGAGAAAACACAACAAGATATAAAATTTCTGTTTTTTATTTTATTAAATTTATCGAGAGTACATAACATTATACATTAAGTATAAAACATTTATACAATATTAATAATCATATATATATATATATATATATATATATAAAACAAGTTTAAATGATTTCACAATACTAAATCAGTTAAAAACTATAAAACATAATTAGTAATCTAATCTTTACTAAAAAAAAACGACAATGACAGGTACTGAAAAAATTATAACGACGCATAACGATCATTCCGATTACTTCTTCGCGCATGCTCACCGTGTGACAACTTATCCCGTCTCAATTTGAGTCAACTTATCCCAAACGTTCATTTTAAATAAAAGATATTATATTTATAAACTGCGATGCGATGACGATTAAATAAATATAGAAAAACTTATTTAAAACTACCATATTTCCTATACATAAGATAAAATTGCAATTAGAAATTTTAAAACCAATGAAATTACTAAAGAATCGAGATCAGAAAAATCTACTTGCTATATCCAGTTTTACAAAAGTGCTCGTAAATATCATATATAATGTTTTTAAGAAAAGTTCTCTCGTACACGTTACTAACACAACTAGTAGCAACTTACAATAAAAAGAAGAATATTTTCCAAGATTTAGTAAGCAAGATAATAGCAGTTTGATAACTAACCCCGTGTCACAACTAGCCCCGGTCTCCCCTACCACACACATTTCTTGATTTCTATTAGCGACTTGTACTTCGAACTCGAAGTCGTTAAAAGATATGGAAGAGAAGTCTCTCTGCTTAAATCATTTTTCCTCGTTCCAACGCAGTTGTTTGTTGGAGTTTACTAAATACAGTGGTGTGCCAAGTTACCTTCTTCTTCAAAAATGTATGTCTGTAAACACTGTGACAAAAAATTCGATTCACAGTACTTACGTGATTCGCATTATTGTACTGAAGTTCCATCTTATACATGTCCGGTAAGAACAAAGTTTTAACAACATCTGGAAAATAGTAATATGCTTGCAAAATTTGCGTAATACATATTAGAATACATACAATGTATCAAATTTTTTTTACTTATTAAGAATCTTAAAATAATCTAGAGTATAAGTATTTGTAGCATTTTAGAAATATAATTATTTATATTTTTATTTGACATAAATATTAGGTATGCGAAAAAATATTTCTTAACGTGTGGTCATACGATCAACATACATACACGTGTACAATTAAGTCGGAATGTTGCAGCACAAAAAATAATAAAAAAAAATATAACACTTTGTAGTTTACAATTATATTGTGTCACAGAAAAAAGGTATTATTTTTATATAATATTTAATCTTACGTTTTACGAATCTGTAAGAAAATTACAGAAAGTAACATTGTTTAGCTAAACTGATAACAATTTTGTTACACAGAGTTTGTTTAGAATGCTAATTATTATTTGCACGTAACAACAGTTATATTATCGTAAGAGAAGAAAAACAAAATTAGTATGCCCCATCAATAAAAACGGAATACTCTAATCTAACGGAAACTAAAATGGAAGGAAGAAACACAATCAGACGACGATAAAATATATGTTGACGTATGTAAGAACCAATAAACGAATAGAGTGAATTATTTAATTTCGACGATATGTGAAGGTTATTATTATTTCCGATCTGTTGACGTTACCATTTTCTTGCGATCACAATCAAATTGCTTATAGGAGCTATAATCAAACTATGGTTTTTTTGCAAACAAGAACATTACTTTTAATATTTTTGACTACTGTTTTCTACTGTTTAAACATTCTTTTACTCATTCTTTTATTCATTTATCTAACGATAAAGACTTAAAAGCTCTAACACAACATTCATAGATTTCTTACTTATCGTATGTAACAGCGATTTTTTTACGATTTATTCATACGCGATTAGAATTGTAGCATTGATCAAATCTTGCAATAAGTATCTACGAGACCAAAGATATTGTACCAAAACAAATATTTTATGTATTAGAACCGAAAAAGTAATAAACAATTTACTTTGCACACTACATTAAAGAATCTTTTTTCTATCTAGAGTATCTAATCTAACGTCAAGCGTTGCAATTATATTATTAGCAATGTACATTATATATTATTAACATTAAATGTAAGAAAAGTTATTACATGAAGAATTTATTATTGACAATGCGAAAGTCGGTAGGAATTAAAAAAATAATCGAGCTTCCAATTCTCTCTATAGAATATATTTTCCGAAAATGAAACATACACATCTGTACATACACACAATCTCATTGTATCATATCGCATTTATTCGCATTTTTACACAAGTAATCTTAAAATAATTTTAAATTAATCGTGAAGTCTCGAAAAAACATATTTGGCTCAAGATACGCGAAGCGAGAAGATAATCAGAAAAAATGTTGCGGAAAGTGTGGCAACAATTTGTACTGTCTCGAGAAATGCGAGTGCCGACTTTACATGCCTTTTTTAAAGAAAAAGATTTGCTACACAAAAGACAATTTGGACACTAACTAAAGCAAGCAAACGAGGATACACAGTTAACTGTTGGCAGTTAAATCCAGAAAGAAGATTACATTGCGAGTTCCGCAAAGTCATTCTGTATTTTTTTTAAATCATCCTCGCTACTGCGGGGTGCGAAAAACGGATTTTGCACTGTGAAGAAAAACTCTCTCTCACACGAGCAAGAGAGAATTTAGTCCGGCGAAATGAAGCTACGTATTTCGAAACGACGACAAAATACCCGAGATTATTGTGGAACGTCGCTTAGTTCTTGAGATGTTGCGTTTTCGCGATCCACCTCGAGAATATTGCACATTTCTCAGGACACTCTCTCAGATTTATCGCAGTAAATTTTCACCAGTGTTTATGAAACATTGCTCTTATTATCTTCTAAATGAAACTTATGCATAAAAGAAAGAAGCTTTAAGTTGTGAGACTAAAACGTCGCAAGACCTGCCAAGCGTTTAACTTGTCTATTACACAATTATATATACTTGTATATTTTTATTTAAAAAGATACAATCAAAATTAATAAATATTTAAATATACAAGCAATTCTATTTAATTTTGTTAATTGGCTAACAAAAACAAGCACAAACCAGATGTATTTTGTCACATTGGTCTTAACGACGGCCATCTCAGCCTATCTTAGTTCCCTCCTAAGTGGTTTCGCGAAAAATGAACTTCGAATGACGAGGCAACGTCAGATGTAACCTTTCCGCTCCGAATTTCTCCTGTGCGTCCCCTTTTCCGACGGGATGTTTTATAGATTCGTCACGGTGTTCATGGGAAAGGGTTAATAATAAAAAATAAAAAATCGCCTTCGAACTATTTTTGATGGTCACATTTCGTCACCAGTCACCAATTATCTTCGTATTCCAAACATCGACCTATAGTAATGATGATCGCGCAAAAAGAAATAGAGAAAAGGGAAATAAAGAAAATTTAAATTCCTTGTTAAAAATTATAAAATTATATTATTAAAGTGAACGCGCGTGTTAACACGCGGAATAAAAATATTCAAGAGAAAGAACTGTAAAAACCAAAAGGATGTGCGACGAGATGAATTTTCCCATGGCAACGTCTCCCGCTTCGCGCCGAGGGTGAATTTCAGAAGTTTCATCAGAGTCGGCTTCTCTCGGGAACGAATGCTCGAAAACTTCGTTAAACTATTCCGCCCGTTTTCCCCGCCGACGATCAAACCGTCCGTTCCGTTTTGCCGTTCACGCCGGACAATGAACGAAAATTACGATTTAACTTCGTTTGCGAGAGCAGCGACGTTATTGCGTTTCCGACCACGTGTCGGGGCATAATGCACGCGTGCGGGAATAATGACCGAACCGAAGACGCCTCTCTGATTAAGGAAGGATACGCGGCCGTCGCGCCGCGCTAACGGACGTTATTGTCGTCTCGCGATAATCGTGTTACGCGAGTTGAAAGAATTGCGTGCTTTGAAAAGAACGAAATTTTCAGTCGACGTATCCCGTTCGTGCACAGTACGATCACGTTAAGTACTAATAAAAAAAAACAAAAATTACTTTATAAACTTGATGCGCGAAAAATATTCACTGTTATGGTAAAAAATTATGAAGAAGCGAGATAAAATTTAGAAAAATGTAAGGAAACAAAGTAAAATTATAATGTGTATTTATATATTTTTCTTTTTATAATATAATCTTTAATTAATTGTTTTTAATGCATATTTTTCGCGATGTTGTATGTAATTACACAAGTATGTAAGAATTTTGAGTATTTAAGTATATAAAAACACATTTTCTTCGTACTGTCAATATTAGAACGAAATCAATATCGTATAAGAATGAGAGAGAGAGAGAAAGAGAAAAAAAAATTTCTAAAAGATTTTATGCAAAAAGATGGAATGAGACTTCTATTCTCTATTTGTATCGAGTAGTATCATTGTTTTCAACACTGTTTGTTTTTTAACAACGGCGGCGTGAGACGGGCTGAGCGAACAAACTTGGAGACAGTAGTCGCGTAATAATTTTCATGCAACAGCTGCGACGAGACGCGATTTCGCCGATCGTGACAACGCAAAAGTTATTATTCAAGCTGATGGGAACGTCAGGGATGTGTTAAAAGGAAAAATTTAAATATCAATGTAGGCCAATAGTGATTGCAAAAGAAAATATATTTTATTATATCGACAATCGACTTTTCCAAATTGAAATTCTCTCTCTCTCTCTCTGTGTTATTTTGTCTTTAAAATATTCCTGATTATTATTCAGCACTTTCATCAAACGTTGAAACATTTTCAAAATGAATTATTAATTATATAAATATTGCGTAATTGTGAATTTGTATTCTATTAAATTCTTAATCTCTTACTGCAATTTTTCTGCGATTCTTGAAACCCATTGGGATTCACAAATCGACGTAGGAATTATTCATTCCATCATTATCATGCCGCGCATCCAGGTGCGTGCTCATTCGCGTATTCAGAAGCTTGCGCGGCGTACTCGAATGGGGAGAGAGATCAGCTCGACACGAGTCTATAAAATCCCATAAACATCCCCGAAGTGAGCTCGCTACAGGGGCGGTCGTCTGACTGAAAGGAATAAAATATCGCTTTTTGCGGCAATTTTACGGCAATTTTCCGAGCCGCTGGAAAGCGTCGCGCGCAAACGAGAACCAGGTGTTTGCCCGGGTGATCCCCGGGCATTCGCGCCCGCAGAAACTCGCTACTGGTCGGATCTTCACGACGATTAATGGCCGAGGAGCTGCTTGGTGATATTCTCGGTGGTTTCTAACAAAAAACAGGTATATACGGGACGACGAGACGAGAAACACGTAGAAAACGCGTGCGCGCCGTGTGTGAGAACGGTCAATGGTCCGTGTGTTAGATCGCATTCATCTTGTCCCAGGACTCATCCTGCCCGTCACGCGCGCGATGCACCTTCGTCCTTCCGATCTTTCCTGATTTATCGCAGAATTATGCTAATCGACAACACTTAGCGAACTCGTTAACGTCGACCGCGCATGCATGAACCGCGTTTAACAACCACCCGGATTTGATGATTCACGTTATTAATATGAAAATTAGCAATAATGTTGGCGGGCGTGATGCGTAAACGTGATGTTATTATTGTATTTACCGCTGTTTTGATTGTATTCACAGAACCTAAACCAGTTAATTCGCGAATTTATTATCGCGTCGTTCGCGAACTCCAAATCAATGTTCGGCTTTAAGTTGCCGGGCGAAGCCGTTATTTCGAACTGTGCGACGTAAAATAATGTCGCGTCAGAATTTGCCAGGTATATGTCACACGTGCGCACACACTTTATACAGAGCTATTCGTTTTACCGTTCCATCGAGCAGTATCGTCCGGTGAAATAATGGCGGTGAATTATCTCGTTGAATTTTTTCACATCGAATTTCGGATAATTGCGTTTCTGCATTGCAAAGATTTTCTTCGCTTTACTTGAGAATTCGATTCAACGGCGCACGAGTGTTCTCAAACAAAACAGACGACGGAAAAAACCGAGCGTATGCTTTTTCTCGCAGCAGAAAGAAAAAAGTGCTCGAGTTAAAACGCGAAGGACGCGCTTCGGGTTTTCGCGTAGAAAAAGTAACAATACGAAACTATTTACACAATGTTTCCTCATTAATGAACTCTAATATCCCCTAGCTAGCGGGAGACTCATTGGATGTCTCTCTGTGAAAATTATAATTTTTTGTGAAATGACTTTTAAACCACTTAATAAAACTTTGCGGAGCATACCGGTAATACATTCGCTCCCGTCGGCTAATTAATTACGCAGCTGTAATACCGTTTTTTTTTTTTTTTGTTTTTTTTTCACATAAATCACGTATTAAACATTCGAGAGTTCCAACTAATTGCGCTTTACGCAAACTTATAGAAAAAAACCTAAATGTCAAAAAATATATTATCTTAAGAACAAAGAAAAAAATGACTTTTGCAAACTACTTTCTCTTTAATTACGAGCATAAATGGAAGAGAGAAATAGGTCAAAGATCACGGAATGCTCAGAGCGGAAAGAATTAATTTCTAAAGTTGTGAGATAAAAAAAAAGAGGAAGGGAGGCGAGAAGTTATTCGCGATATAAAATCTCGGGAAGATTTAAGTTAATACGTGTTGTACGCGCGCGTGTTGATCGCGCCGCAATATTTGCGGTTTTCAGAACGCCAAGTTTTCGCGCGCT